GAATTATCAGGTCAATTACTGGACGCACCTTGAACAGCCTGTCATGACCTGGCTGACCCCTCCCCATATACTCACTATTGTTTGCGAAATGGAGGAAAGACAGAATGATCTCAAATATGTTCCTAGACATTAGTTTGCCAAACCCAGGTGTGTAAATTGGCCAAAATTCTGCCCAGTAATCCTCAATTTCTGCCTTCTCTACCAGCCCCATACACAAATTCAGTGCTAGGAAGGCCTTCATCTCTGAGACAGAGACATCATACCAATTATGAAATCTGCAATTGGGTTTCAGCTGTTGGGAGTTTAGAAACTGATGAGCATATCTGTTGGTTTCATTTGTAATGAGGTTCCAGAAGTCATCAGTCAGAAAGACAGAAAGTCTAAGGGTGCAGCACTGGTCAAATCTTTCTCTCCTAGATAACCAACAGGCTCATCAAAGCGTTTGATCCAGTCCTGATACACTTCTTCATTTCTCAAAAAAAACCAGCCACCATTGTCATCGATATTTCGAGCCCTATTTAGAGCCAGATCACCCCTGCTGCCTCTACCACGTTTCCCGGCTCTCCAACGCACAGCACGGCCACGTCTACCGCGGCCACTCCCACCTCTTTGGGGCGCTGGATCCAAAGAGCTAGTGCTACTTCCAGCCCTATTTCTCCTACCCCTGCTGCCTCTGCCTCTAGCAACAGCTCTCCTATGGACACAACGACCACGTTCACTGCTGCCACCCCCGTCCCCGTTGGGCAAAGGGTCGAAATGATCACTTGTTTGTGCTTCGTGAACACTCTCGCCTTGCACGGCGGCACCATTGCGCTGCAAAGTTGTACCGGGAGAAGAACGACCACGTTCACTGCTGCCACCCCCGTCCCCGTTGGGCAAAGGGTCGAAATGATCACTTGTTTGTGCTTCGTGAACACTCTCGCCTTGCACGGCGGCACCATTGCGCTGCAAAGATGTACCGGGAGAAGCGCAATCATTAGACGACCGATCGTCATTTCCAAAAGGCAAATATTCCCCTTCAGAGTCAGAATTGGCGAATAACATTTGCAACACATCCTCACAGTACAACTTTTATTAGCCATTTGGTGATTTTCTCTCACAAATCTCACAATTTACTCACACGCTATGAACTGAACTGCTTCCGCATCAATGACACGATAGCTCATTTGCTCTGCTGTTTCCTCGAACACTTTGAATAGGAACATTACGTCATTTTGGTCTAGAATCGAAAGTACTACAATTCTGCCATCTAGTGGTAGGGAATACAAATGAGATGTCACACCATATTAGGAACTACAGTCTATTTTATTAAGTATGACGTCTTGTCGCAATTTAGCTACTTTTGCGCTTAGAGGGTTAACAAATAGGCTAAGTTTAAGCAATTGGCCCCAGGATGTTAGAATTCAAATGTGCACATCTACCACACAGGGCTGTGTTTCCCAAAAGCATTGTAAGCCTAAGTTGATTGTAGCTCCATTGGTTTCAATGGGTCTACGATTTACTTAAACTTACTATGCTTTTGGGAAATGCAGCCCAGGACATTGGTTAATTCATTGCTCAACATGACAGTAGATTTTTGTTATTGTTTTAGTCATCAAAATTTTTCTTTTTAAATTTAGTTATTTAGTTTTCATCAGTTAAAAAATGTTGTTGACGAAAAATTATGAAACATTTTTTTTTGACTGCTGTCAAGACATTTACAGAAGTTCTTATTGAGAATTAACAGAGGTAGGCTATAGATGTTAATTTTTTATTGAATGTTTCACTTGAAGTTACCAGAATTGTGATTAGTGGTACATTTATTTGGTTTCTTGACACTTTATGCTTTAGCCTTAATTGTTATCTGACTGCTGAAACTGTGTTATTATAAATTATATTTGTTATGGCAAGACAAAATATAATGAACGTAGGCTTCTTAAGGACTTCATACAATGACTCATATTTTATTGTTTTCTGGAGTTATAATAATGATTTATTTAAAAATAATAATAATAAAAGGCAATAATAAATCTTAAAAAAAACTTAAGGCAGTGTGAGTTAAAAGTCTATATAAAAAAATGATGATATTATAATATTTTGCAGATCACGCCATAATGCCACACTATTGAATCCGGGTCCTCCAGCGCTTTACCGTCTGAACACAGAAAGAAAACGGATTGATGAAACTGAGACAAAGGTTAATCGATGGACATATGGACAGAAAAAAAGAAATAAACAAAACAAAGTTATTCTGATGGTGGGAGAAACTGGCGCTGGGAAAACCACCATGATCAACACCCTGATCAACTACCTATTGGGAGTGAAGTTCGAGGATGAAGAGTTTTATCAGATCACAGAAGAAACTGAAGATAATAAAGAAGAGGAAGAAGTAGAAAAGAAAGAAGAAATAGAAGAAGAAAACGAAGATGAAGATGAAGATGAAGAAGTTGAAGATGTAGATAATTCACTATCCCAGACATCTGTAGTCACTGTTTATGAGGTGTTTGTTGAAGAAAACCCAACATCTCTGACCATCATCGACACTCCTGGATACGGACACACTGAAGGACTCGAGAAAGACAGAGAGATTTCTGAGTATCTGATCAGATTATTTTCAGATGAGAATGGGATTCATTATATTGATGCGGTGTGTTTTGTGATGAAGGCGACACAGAATCGTCTCTCTAGAAAAGAGCATTACATATTTCACTCAGTTCTGTCTCTGTTTGGTAGAGATGTAGAGAACAACATAGTGTTTCTACTCACACATTCAGATGGAGGCCCTCCAACAAATGCCCTCAATGCCGTTAAGAAAGCAGAAATACCCTGCAGAAGAGATGGGAAAAGAAAGCCTATTCACTTCTTATTCAACAACCGACAGAAAGAGATAAGAGACAAACAGTATGAACATAACTACAGATCATCATGGGAAATGGGAGTGAGAAGCATGAATGAGTTCTTCACATTCCTTGAAGAAAAGAACAGAAAAAGTGTTAGGATGACATTAGATGTTATGAAAGAGCGAATACAACTTGAGGCCTGTGTCTCTCATCTAAAGGCTAGAATCTGTGAGAATGAGTTAAAAAATAAAGAACTTACTCAGATTCAGGAAGCCCTTGCACAGAACAGAGACAAGATTCAGAAATGTCAAAGCTTTCAATTTACAGTCAACAGATGTTTCAAAGAAAAAGTTCCCATTGAAAATGAATGGGGGTGGAACAGAAATGCAACCTGCTGCAACGTCTGTCAGGAAAATTGTCATGAATGGAACTGCTGGTGGGTGGAAAATCTCTCATGGTGTGAAGTCATGAAATCGAACCACTGCACTGTGTGTACAGGAAAGTGTCATTACAGCAAACATGTTAGAGAGAACAAAAAATATGTGATCAGGACAAAGGAAACGAAAATGGCATTTGATGATCTTAAACTGGAGTATGAACACACTGGTGACCGACCTGAAACCAGCTTTGACAAAGGAATATATATAAATACTAAAATGGAACAGGAAAGTATCATGAAAGAGTCTGAGAATAAAACAGAAATAGAAGAGAAGCTGAAGAGCAATCTGGAGAAGATTAAACACGAAAAGTCCATCATGCTGCATGAAGCTTATATCAGCATTGTGAGTCTGTGTAAGATCTCATTAATAGCAGACAGCGCTTCCACTCTTCAGCATTTGGATTTCTTGATTCTCAGACTGAAGGAGGAAAAAAGAAATAAATGGATAAAGAACCTGGAGGATCTGAAGAAAACTGGAGATCAGCAGAAAAACAAGGGAGCTTTACGTCATTTGATGGATTACACTATGCAAAAAAACTAAGTTGTGAATAAATTACCATCAAAAGAATAAAAGCAACAAATCTCAAATTACAAGATGAAAAGCAGAACTGATATTTCTCTGCCAGGGAAAATAAGTAAGTTCCCTTACAAGAGGATATGATAAGTTCCATTATTATGTTACTTGATATATTTAATCTCTTTAGACTGATTACAAGATAACTGACACTTGCTTCTGACTAAAAATCTGCATTTTATCATATATTTAAAATGATTTAATTGTTTAGGTGGTTGATTGTTAAACTTGTGAAAGTTTCTTGTTGAAATGATTTTGTAACAGAATCACTTGTAACTTTTTGTCAGGGTGGGGATGAACTAATTCAACAGCTGTTAGCATAATACCTCTTTTTACTGTAAAATTCACTCAGAAATGTACATTCTGTCATCAGTTACACTTTCTCATGTCGTTCCAAACCCATTAGACTTTAATACGATTTTTTTCCTCTTGCTACTATAATACTGGAGAGTTTATTTTCATTTTAATAATTTATCACAGTCATTTAAATCTTTATATTTAAAAAATGTCCAGCTTTCTGTGTTTTCACTGTTATACACTAGGGAGAGTAAAGAAATGAGTAAAGAATCTCCAGATCAAAACACAGGCAAAGAAGATGATGATGATGAAGAAGATCTCACATGTTGATCAAATTTTTTATAAAGGATATATAAAATATTTAAAGATATTACTTTGCATGTTTGTGTAAGCCATTTTACCATGAATGAGAGCCAGGTGCATTTTGAAGGCCTCAAGGCCAAATGACTGTGTAGGTCTCGTGGCCTGTGACTGCGCTGAAGGATCTGAGGATCCTTAAATGCAGCCTGTGTGTGTTTTGCTTCAAGAGAGCAATCATACATTTGTGTTGTCTTTTACTTTCTTTCTTTCTTTTATATTCATTCATTCATTATAATAATTTATTATTTAATAATTTGTATTATTCCATTTAATCATATAATCATTTATAATAATCATTATTGTCATTTATATACCAATTTCATTGATTCATTAATTGATTAGTCGTTTACATTATATTATATTATTGTTTTTTATATTTAGTTTTTTCCATTGTTGTTTATTCTTATGACCGTGTGGTTTCAAGGGCTGTTTGTCTTCATTAATAATAGATACAAGGGAATGTTTATGGAAACTCAAGGTCTATGGATGTTGTTTTTAAGCAGTTTTGCTATAACAATACTTGTTGAATTTGTGTTCTTCAGACAAAGTCTGACCATTGAGACATACGCAACTAAGACTATTCAATAAACTCTGCTCCTTTTTATTATCATCACTTCGTCTCCTGCTTCTGCTCTTCACTGGTATTTTCCTCAGTCAACTTCTTGGCTGATAGAAGACTGTTAATAGAGTTTTGGGTATTTTGGGTACCAGACAAGACTACCTGTTAACAGGTTTTGGGTATTAGACAACTTCCCTGACGAGTTGTTCTGTTACCAGACAAAACAGATATTTTCTGACAGGATCTGGCATCCGGGACTGGATCTTAATTATCTTGCATGGAGGGATAATCTAACAGCGCTTATGAATAGACGATACAGAAGGAAGAACCGTAGGTGGAAGATGCTACATGGTGAGATGCATAAATATATACTGTGTGTAAAGCTCGTTAAAATCCTGACAGCTCATTAAAATCCTAAAATGTATATGCCGCTGCAACCTTGGGCACCCGGAAAGGGGTAGATAAGTTACAATGAAAGCAAGTGTTATGAAAACTAAAAAACAGTTGTGGAAAGTACTGGGAATGACGTATCTACATGCACATTAGACAGTGACCGATAACGATAACTTTTACAACGATGGTAGTTCTGGACAGAGAAAGATTCAGATGCAGTGCCTGACATCTTGGCTTTGTTGCTTTGTTCAATAAAGTCTTATTTCAACTTCTGGAACTCTGACTCCTAAACTTTATTTGGCAAGAGAGAGAAGGCTGAATCCTCCACCACAATGTAAGCAGATGCATATGGAAAATAATGCGATCATCAAAAATAAACAGCAAATATATAAAAACTGCCTAATGCTACAGAGTGAAATGTTGATCCAGGAAATGGTATAGAACTGTGAAGCTTTGGGGGGGGGGGGGGTATCTAGCATAGATACAGCAATCTACTGTATCTATGCTATAAATTTGATCCAGTTTTGATAAGCAACATTTTGAGCAAAAAGCTGAGAAAATTGTTTCTTTTTATGAAACTTACCTACATTCAAGTGTTGATTAAAAAAATGCTTGAAGCTAGAATAAAAAGGATTTATTTTTGGGGGCTTAAAAGCAGAGTCTCTGTTCTTTATTTTGATGTATTGCATGTTCAGATATTCTTTCAACAAAATATTTTGGGGGCATTGAAACTTTTGTGAAAATTATAAAAAATGTTGACGCTTTAAATGTTTGCATTTCTGAAACAATATGTTGAACACCAAAGTTGTAATCTACCTAAAAACACACTAAACAGAGAGTTTGTTGAGTAAAATTAAATAAAAAACTGAATTAGAATGAAGTAATAAATGTCACTGAAACTAATGAACAATTTAGTCAAAAGATTCTTGGCATGGTAGCTTTTCTGCAATGTTGACTGGCCATTAGGGACTACAGGTGGAAAGATATATCTGATTATAATGTGATGAAAAGCATCTTCTGGTTCTTGACAGAGATGGATTTGGTGCAATTGTACACTGTCCCTATCAAATAAACAACAAATAATGTGTATATATACAAAATATATGGTCACATGACAATAAAAGTGACCCACCCCCTGTATCTTGCAAACTGTACAATTTACCCACTGGCTCATCTTAGCCCACTCTCCCCTTTATGAAGTTTTCTCACCGGTGAGTGACACATGATGTACTGTAGTAATGTCGTCTCATCTGGTCTGTGCACGTTCATGCGTTCAGGAGGGATGGCTTTGGACGCGATTTGCAAGGAGGGATTTACGCTTTCAGTGCTATCAGGCTAAAGTTAGTTATTTTGCAAGATGTACTATTGCACCTTTAAAAGCACGTAAAGTGTCTTCTTTCATGTTGCAAATAACTTTAAAAAAAATGTAATGTCGAAATATAAGTGAAATATATTGTGATTAACTTGACTATTCAAGCTCACTGTTTGATATAGTTGGACAGATGATAGCCTGCAATATAAGCTGAAGTTGAAATTTCTCTTTATTCAGTGTAATGCAAAATCTGTTACTCCATTTTGACATCAATTAAAGTAAAGGACACCATCACTGTATAGACCACATTTTTAACATCTTATTTATATTTCAAATAAATTAGTAATGTTTAGAACTGACAAGTGTGTGTTAATAAATATTAATATTTTAATAAATGTTGTATTGTTTTATTTGTTACTGGTTTATTTTAGATGCCTACAAATACAGAGTTGCTACTCGCTGAATTGCCAGGCAGTCCATGTAAAAAATGCAGACCCAGTAGCTCAGGCAGCACTCTTAGCCAGGAAATGAAAAAAAATAACATTTGTCAGAATAATAGCTTAGCACTATTATTCCGTCCTCACAATGTCACAAGTTCAAGAGGGGCCACTGAGGGGATTCTTCTCCCAAATACTAATGATCTAATGATTACACCATTTATGTTAAGTACATATGTTTTATATACATTTACATGTATTTTATATACATATACATTTATGAAAGTACATTTAATCATTTGTAAGTCGCTCTGGATAAAAGCATCTGCTAAATGAGGACAATAGAAGCAATCAAAACCAACAAAAGAGCAATAATATGCAAGTGCTATGACAAGTCTCGGTTAGCGTAACGCAGTATATATATATATATATATATATATATATATATATATATATATGTATATGTATATGTATATGTATATGTATATGTATGTAGTATTTTATATACATATACATTTATGAAAGTACATTTAATCATTTGTAAGTCGCTCTGGATAAAAGCATCTGCTAAATGAGGACAATAGAAGCAATCAAAACCAACAAAAGAGCAATAATATGCAAGTGCTATGACAAGTCTCGGTTAGCGTAACGCAGTATATATATATATATATATATATATATATATATATATATACAGTAAGAAGATAGAAAAAGAACAGAGAAAGCTAGGGTTAGAGACTTTTTTATTCTAAGAAAACAAGCAGTTAGATAATGAATAGAGAAAGCAAGTGTTAGAGGGTCAAGTGTTGTTTTTTTAATAAATAAAAAAGAAAACAAATAGATAAAATAGAAATATAATAGAGAGTGCTAGAGTTAGAGGGTCAAATAAAGATGGAATACATGAGCTTTTAGCCATTTCTTGAAGATGGTTAAGGACTCAGCTGCTCGGGTTGAGTTGGGCAGGTCATTCCACACAAGGGAACAGTTGATGAAAAAGTCAGTGAAAGTGATTTTGTGCCTCTTTGGGTTGGCACAATAATGCGCCGCTCACTTGTAGAACGGAAGCTTCTTGAGGGCACATAGGTCTGTAGTAAATTTAGGTAAAGGGGTGCCAAACCAGTGGTGGTTTTGTAAACAAACATCAACGCCTTGAATTTTATGTGAGCAGCTATTGGTAGCCAGTGCAAATTGTGAAACAGAAGTGTGACGTGAGTTCTTTTCGGCACATTAAAGATTAATCATCTGTTTTTGAAGGAGTTATTGTTGATGTGCCTAACTGAATGTTGAAATTGTGATGAAGTGATGGTTTTGTTGAAACTACAAGCAGTTCTGTCTTGGCCAGGTTGAGTTGAAGGTGATGGTCTTTCATTCAGCAAGAAATGTCTGTTAGACATGCTGAGATACGAGCAGCTATCGTCGGATCATCAAGATAGAATGAGGGGTAGAGCTGAGTGTCATCAGCATAGCAGTGATAAGAAAAGCTATGCTTCTGAAAGACAGAACCTAGTGATGCCATGTAGACAGAGAATAGAAGTGGTCCAAGAACTGAGCCCTGAGGCATCCCAGTAGCTAGATGTTCCTACTTGGACACCTCACCCCTCCAAGATAG